TATGAGACTAACCAGGTGGTAGAGAGCTTCCTTCTCCAGTTTGCCCAAGAGGAGTGGATTCTTGACCTGAAGTGAGATTTTCAAACATTACAAACGTAGCCCCTTGTGCGAGGATTCAAATGAAGGGAAGTGTACTTCTGCTGTGAAAACTAACCAGGTGGTAGAGAGCTTCCTTCTCCAGTTTGCCCAGGAGGAGTGGATTTCTGACCTGAAGTGAGATTTTCAAACATTACAAACGTAGCCCCTTGTGAGAGGATTCAAATGAATGGAAGTGTGCTTCTGCTGTAAAAACTAACCAGGTGGTAAAGAGCTTCCTTCTCCAGTTTGCCCAGGAGGAGTGGATTCCTGACCTGAAGTGAGTCCTCAATTAGTCAGCAACGTATTCCCTATGAAAACAAACCAGGTGACAGCGAACTGCCTTCCTTGGGCTCAGTTCCTTCCTGATCTTTGAGACCCTTACCACCTGAGAAATTGCCTATGAGAACAGAAGCCGAAACCCGCTTTAATCGCTAAACTGACCTTCATTGAAGCCTTTAAATTTAATTGTGCGATTCGGCCAACTTGAGGGTTGCTGATCTGGAGAAGATATGTTCCAAATTATGAAGCATGTTCCTGTTTGTATGAGACTAACCAGGTGGTAGAGAGCTTCCTTCTCCAGTTTGTCCAGGAGGAGTGGATTCTTGACCTGAAGTGAGATTTTCAAACATTACAAACGTAGCCCCTTGTGCGAGGATTCAAATAAAGGAAAGTGTACTTCTTTTGTGAAAACTAACCAGGTGATAAAGAGCTTCCTTCTCCAGTTTGCCCAGGAGGAGTGGATTCCTGACCTGAAGTGAGATTTACGCCTTGTGCGAGGATTCAAATGAAGGGAAGTGTACTTCTGCTGTGAAAACTAACCAGGTGGTAGAGAGCTTCCTTCTCCAGTTTGCCCAGGAGGAGTGGATTTCTGACCTGAAGTGAGATTTTCAAACATTACAAACGTAGCCCCTTGTGCGAGGATTCAAATAAAGGAAAGTGTACTTCTTTTGTGAAAACTAACCAGGTGATAAAGAGCTTCCTTCTTCAGTTTGCCCAGGCGGAGTGGATTCCTGACCTGAAGTGAGATTTTCAAACATTACAAACGTAGCCCCTTGTGTGAGGATTCAAATGAAAGAAAGTGTACTTCTTTTGTGAAAACTAACCAGGTGATAAAGAGCTTCCTTCTCCAGTTTGCCCAGGCGGAGTGGATTCCTGACCTGAAGTAAGATTTTCAAACATTACAAACGTAGCCCCTTGTGAGAGGATTCAAATGAAGGAAAGTGTACTTCTTTTGTGAAAACTAACCAGGTGATAAAGAGCTTCCTTCTCCAGTTTGCCCAGGAGGAGTGGATTCCTGACCTGAAGTGAGATTTACGCCTTGTGCGAGGATTCAAATGAAGGGAAGTGTACTTCTGCTGTGAAAACTAACCAGGTGGTAGAGAGCTTCCTTCTCCAGTTTGCCCAGGAGGAGTGGATTTCTGACCTGAAGTGAGATTTTCAAACATTACAAACGTAGCCCCTTGTGAGAGGATTCAAATGAATGGAAGTGTGCTTCTGCTGTGAAAACTAACCAGGTGGTAAAGAGCTTCCTTCTCCAGTTTGCCCAGGAGGAGTGGATTCCTGACCTGAAGTGAGTCCTCAATTAGTCAGCAACGTATTCCCTATGAAAACAAACCAGGTGACAGCGAACTGCCTTCCTTGGGCTCAGTTCCTTCCTGATCTTTGAGACCCTTACCACCTGAGAAATTGTCTATGAGAACAGAAGCCGAAACCCGCTTTAATCGCTAAACTGACCTTCATTGAAGCCTTTAAATTTAATTGTGCGATTCGGCCAACTTGAGGGTTGCTGATCTGGAGAAGATATGTTCCAAATTATGAAGCATGTTCCTGTTTGTATGAGACTAACCAGGTGGTAGAGAGCTTCCTTCTCCAGTTTGCCCAGGAGGAGTGGATTCTTGACCTGAAGTGAGATTTTCAAACATTACAAACGTAGCCCCTTGTGCGAGGATTCAAACAAAGGAAAGTGTACTTCTTTTGTGAAAACTAACCAGGTGATAAAGAGCTTCCTTCTCCAGTTTGCCCAGGCGGAGTGGATTTCTGACCTGAAGTGAGATTTTCAAACATTACAAACGTAGCCCCTTGTGTGAGGATTCAAATGAAAGAAAGTGTACTTCTTTTGTGAAAACTAACCAGGTGATAAAGAGCTTCCTTCTCCAGTTTGCCCAGGCGGAGTGGATTCCTGACCTGAAGTAAGATTTTCAAACAGTACAAACGTAGCCCCTTGTGAGAGGATTCAAATGAAGGAAAGTGTACTTCTTTTGTGAAAACTAACCAGGTGATAAAGAGCTTCCTTCTCCAGTTTGCCCAGGAGGAGTGGATTCCTGACCTGAAGTGAGATTTACGCCTTGTGCGAGGATTCAAATGAAGGGAAGTGTACTTCTGCTGTGAAAACTAACCAGGTGGTAGAGAGCTTCCTTCTCCAGTTTGCCCAGGAGGAGTGGATTCATGACCTGAAGTGAGTCCTCAATTAGTCAGCAACGTATTCCCTATGAAAACAAACCAGGTGACAGCGAACTGCCTTCCTTGGGCTCAGTTCCTTCCTGATCTTTGAGACCCTTACCACCTCAGAAATTGTCTATGAGAACAGAAGCCGAAACCCGCTTTAATCGCTAAACTGACCTTCATTGAAGCCTTTAAATTTAATTGTGCGATTCGGCCAACTTGAGGGTTGCTGATCTGGAGAAGATATGTTCCAAATTATGAAGCATGTTCCTGTTTGTATGAGACTAACCAGGTGGTAGAGAGCTTCCTTCTCCAGTTTGCCCAGGAGGAGTGGATTCTTGACCTGAAGTGAGATTTTCAAACATTACAAACGTAGCCCCTTGTGCGAGGATTCAAATAAAGGAAAGTGTACTTCTTTTGTGAAAACTAACCAGGTGATAAAGAGCTTCCTTCTCCAGTTTGCCCAGGCGGAGTGGATTCCTGACCTGAAGTGAGATTTTCAAACATTACAAACGTAGCCCCTTGTGTGAGGATTCAAATGAAAGAAAGTGTACTTCTTTTGTGAAAACTAACCAGGTGATAAAGAGCTTCCTTCTCCAGTTTGCCCAGGCGGAGTGGATTCCTGACCTGAAGTGAGATTTTCAAACATTACAAACGTAGCCCCTTGTGTGAGGATTCAAATGAAAGAAAGTGTACTTCTTTTGTGAAAACTAACCAGGTGATAAAGAGCTTCCTTCTCCATTTTGCCCAGGAGGAGTGGATTCCTGACCTGAAGTGAGATTTACGCCTTGTGCGAGGATTCAAATGAAGGGAAGTGTACTTCTGCTGTGAAAACTAACCAGGTGGTAGAGAGCTTCCTTCTCCAGTTTGCCCAGGAGGAGTGGATTTCTGACCTGAAGTGAGATTTTCAAACATTGCAAACGTAGCCCCTTGTGAGAGGATTCAAATGAATGGAAGTGTGCTTCTGCTGTGAAAACTAACCAGGTGGTAAAGAGCTTCCTTCTCCAGTTTGCCCAGGAGGAGTGGATTCCTGACCTGAAGTGAGTCCTCAATTAGTCAGCAACGCATTCCCTATGAAAACAAACCAGGTGACAGCGAACTGCCTTCCTTGGGCTCAGTTCCTTCCTGATCTTTGAGACCCTTACCACCTGAGAAATTGTCTATGAGAACAGAAGCCGAAACCCGCTTTAATCGCTAAACTGACCTTCATTGAAGCCTTTAAATTTAATTGTGCGATTCGGCCAACTTGAGGGTTGCTGATCTGGAGAAGATATGTTCCAAATTATGAAGCATGTTCCTGTTTGTATGAGACTAACCAGGTGGTAGAGAGCTTCCTTCTCCAGTTTGCCCAGGAGGAGTGGATTCTTGACCTGAAGTGAGATTTTCAAACATTACAAACGTAGCCCCTTGTGCGAGGATTCAAATAAAGGAAAGTGTACTTCTTTTGTGAAAACTAACCAGGTGATAAAGAGCTTCCTTCTCCAGTTTGCCCAGGCGGAGTGGATTCCTGACCTGAAGTGAGATTTTCAAACATTACAAACGTAGCCCCTTGTGTGAGGATTCAAATGAAAGAAAGTGTACTTCATTTGTGAAAACTAACCAGGTGATAAAGAGCTTCCTTCTCCAGTTTGCCCAGGCGGAGTGGATTCCTGACCTGAAGTAAGATTTTCAAACATTACAAACGTAGCCCCTTGTGAGAGGATTCAAATGAAGGAAAGTGTACTTCTTTTGTGAAAACTAACCAGGTGATAAAGAGCTTCCTTCTCCAATTTGCCCAGGAGGAGTGGATTCCTGACCTGAAGTGAGATTTACGCCTTGTGCGAGGATTCAAATGAAGGGAAGTGTACTTCTGCTGTGAAAACTAACCAGGTGGTAGAGAGCTTCCTTCTCCAGTTTGCCCAGGAGGAGTGGATTTCTGACCTGAAGTGAGATTTTCAAACATTACAAACGTAGCCCCTTGTGAGAGGATTCAAATGAATGGAAGTGTGCTTCTGCTGTGAAAACTAACCAGGTGGTAAAGAGCTTCCTTCTCCAGTTTGCCCAGGAGGAGTGGATTCCTGACCTGAAGTGAGTCCTCAATTAGTCAGCAACGTATTCCCTATGAAAACAAACCAGGTGACAGCGAACTGCCTTCCTTGGGCTCAGTTCCTTCCTGATCTTTGAGACCCTTACCACCTGAGAAATTGTCTATGAGAACAGAAGCCGAAACCCGCTTTAATCGCTAAACTGACCTTCATTGAAGCCTTTAAATTTAATTGTGCGATTCGGCCAACTTGAGGGTTGCTGATCTGGAGAAGATATGTTCCAAATTATAAAGCATGTTCCTGTTTGTATGAGACTAACCAGGTGGTAGAGAGCTTCCTTCTCCAGTTTGCCCAGGAGGAGTGGATTCTTGACCTGAAGTGAGATTTTCAAACATTACAAACGTAGCCCCTTGTGCGAGGATTCAAATAAAGGAAAGTGTACTTCTTTTGTGAAAACTAACCAGGTGATAAAGAGCTTCCTTCTCCAGTTTGCCCAGGAGGAGTGGATTTCTGACCTGAAGTGAGATTTTCAAACATTACAAACGTAGCCCCTTGTGTGAGGATTCAAATGAAAGAAAGTGTACTTCTTTTGTGAAAACTAACCAGGTGATAAAGAGCTTCCTTCTCCAGTTTGCCCAGGAGGAGTGGATTCCTGACCTGAAGTGAGTCCTCAATTAGTCAGCAACGCATTCCCTATGAAAACAAACCAGGTGACAGCGAACTGCCTTCCTTGGGCTCAGTTCCTTCCTGATCTTTGAGACCCTTACCACCTGAGAAATTGTCTATGAGAACAGAAGCCGAAACCCGCTTTAATCGCTAAACTGACCTTCATTGAAGCCTTTAAATTTAATTGTGCGATTCGGCCAACTTGAGGGTTGCTGATCTGGAGAAGATATGTTCCAAATTATGAAGCATGTTCCTGTTCGTATGAGACTAACCAGGTGGTAGAGAGCTTCCTTCTCCAGTTTGCCCAGGAGGAGTGGATTCTTGACCTGAAGTGAGATTTTCAAACATTACAAACGTAGCCCCTTGTGCGAGGATTCAAATAAAGGAAAGTGTACTTCTTTTGTGAAAACTAACCAGGTGGTAAAGAGCTTCCTTCTCCAGTTTGCCCAGGAGGAGTGGATTCCTGACCTGAAGTGAGTCCTCAATTAGTCAGCAACGCATTCCCTATGAAAACAAACCAGGTGACAGCGAACTGCCTTCCTTGGGCTCAGTTCCTTCCTGATCTTTGAGACCCTTACCACCTGAGAAATTGTCTATGAGAACAGAAGCCGAAACCCGCTTTAATCGCTAAACTGACCTTCATTGAAGCCTTTAAATTTAATTGTGCGATTCGGCCAACTTGAGGGTTGCTGATCTGGAGAAGATATGTTCCAAATTATGAAGCATGTTCCTGTTTGTATGAGACTAACCAGGTGGTAGAGAGCTTCCTTCTCCAGTTTGCCCAGGAGGAGTGGATTCTTGACCTGAAGTGAGATTTTCAAACATTACAAACGTAGCCCCTTGTGCGAGGATTCAAATAAAGTAAAGTGTACTTCTTTTGTGAAAACTAACCAGGTGATAAAGAGCTTCCTTCTCCAGTTTGCCCAGGCGGAGTGGATTCCTGACCTGAAGTGAGATTTTCAAACATTACAAACGTAGCCCCTTGTGTGAGGATTCAAATGAAAGAAAGTGTACTTCATTTGTGAAAACTAACCAGGTGATAAAGAGCTTCCTTCTCCAGTTTGCCCAGGCGGAGTGGATTCCTGACCTGAAGTAAGATTTTCAAACATTACAAACGTAGCCCCTTGTGAGAGGATTCAAATGAAGGAAAGTGTACTTCTTTTGTGAAAACTAACCAGGTGATAAAGAGCTTCCTTCTCCAATTTGCCCAGGAGGAGTGGATTCCTGACCTGAAGTGAGATTTACGCCTTGTGCGAGGATTCAAATGAAGGGAAGTGTACTTCTGCTGTGAAAACTAACCAGGTGGTGGAGAGCTTCCTTCTCCAGTTTGCCCAGGAGGAGTGGATTTCTGACCTGAAGTGAGATTTTCAAACATTACAAACGTAGCCCCTTGTGAGAGGATTCAAATGAATGGAAGTGTGCTTCTGCTGTGAAAACTAACCAGGTGGTAAAGAGCTTCCTTCTCCAGTTTGCCCAGGAGGAGTGGATTCCTGACCTGAAGTGAGTCCTCAATTAGTCAGCAACGTATTCCCTATGAAAACAAACCAGGTGACAGCGAACTGCCTTCCTTGGGCTCAGTTCCTTCCTGATCTTTGAGACCCTTACCACCTGAGAAATTGTCTATGAGAACAGAAGCCGAAACCCGCTTTAATCGCTAAACTGACCTTCATTGAAGCCTTTAAATTTAATTGTGCGATTCGGCCAACTTGAGGGTTGCTGATCTGGAGAAGATATGTTCCAAATTATGAAGCATGTTCCTGTTTGTATGAGACTAACCAGGTGGTAGAGAGCTTCCTTCTCCAGTTTGCCCAGGAGGAGTGGATTCTTGACCTGAAGTGAGATTTTCAAACATTACAAACGTAGCCCCTTGTGCGAGGATTCAAATAAAGGAAAGTGTACTTCTTTTGTGAAAACTAACCAGGTGATAAAGAGCTTCCTTCTCCAGTTTGCCCAGGCGGAGTGGATTCCTGACCTGAAGTGAGATTTTCAAACATTACAAACGTAGCCCCTTGTGTGAGGATTCAAATGAAAGAAAGTGTACTTCTTTTGTGAAAACTAACCAGGTGATAAAGAGCTTCCTTCTCCAGTTTGCCCAGGAGGAGTGGATTCCTGACCTGAAGTGAGATTTACGCCTTGTGCGAGGATTCAAATGAAGGGAAGTGTACTTCTGCTGTGAAAACTAACCAGGTGGTAGAGAGCTTCCTTCTCCAGTTTGCCCAGGAGGAGTGGATTTCTGACCTGAAGTGAGATTTTCAAACATTGCAAACGTAGCCCCTTGTGAGAGGATTCAAATGAATGGAAGTGTGCTTCTGCTGTGAAAACTAACCAGGTGGTAAAGAGCTTCCTTCTCCAGTTTGCCCAGGAGGAGTGGATTCCTGACCTGAAGTGAGATTTTCAAACATTACAAACGTAGCCCCTTGTGAGAGGATTCAAATGAAAGAAAGTGTACTTCTTTTGTGAAAACTAACCAGGTGATAAAGAGCTTCCTTCTCCACTTTGCCCAGGCGGAGTGGATTCCTGACCTGAAGTAAGATTTTCAAACATTACAAACGTAGCCCCTTGTGAGAGGATTCAAATGAAAGAAAGTGTACTTCTTTTGTGAAAACTAACCAGGTGATAAAGAGCTTCCTTCTCCAGTTTGCCCAGGCGGAGTGGATTCCTGACCTGAAGTAAGATTTTCAAACATTACAAACGTAGCCCCTTGTGAGAGGATTCAAATGAAGGAAAGTGTACTTCTTTTGTGAAAACTAACCAGGTGATAAAGAGCTTCCTTCTCCAGTTTGCCCAGGAGGAGTGGATTCCTGACCTGAAGTGAGATTTACGCCTTGTGCGAGGATTTAAATGAAAGGATGTGTACTTCTGCTGTGAAAACTAACCAGGTGGTAGAGAGCTTCCTTCTCCAGTTTGCCCAGGAGGAGTGGATTTCTGACCTGAAGTGAGATTTTCAAACATTGCAAACGTAGCCCCTTGTGAGAGGATTCAAATGAATGGAAGTGTGCTTCTGCTGTGAAAACTAACCAGGTGGTAAAGAACTTCCTTCTCCAGTTTGCCCAGGAGGAGTGGATTCCTGACCTGAAGTGAGTCCTCAATTAGTCAGCAACGTATTCCCTATGAAAACAAACCAGGTGACAGCGAACTGCCTTCCTTGGGCTCAGTTCCTTCCTGATCTTTGAGACCCTTACCACCTGAGAAATTGTCTATGAGAACAGAAGCCGAAACCCGCTTTAATCGCTAAACTGACCTTCATTGAAGCCTTTAAATTTAATTGTGCGATTCGGCCAACTTGAGGGTTGCTGATCTGGAGAAGATATGTTCCAAATTATGAAGCATGTTCCTGTTTGTATGAGACTAACCAGGTGGTAGAGAGCTTCCTTCTCCAGTTTGCCCAGGCGGAGTGGATTCCTGACCTGAAGTGAGATTTTCAAACATTACAAACGTAGCCCCTTGTGTGAGGATTCAAATGAAAGGAAGTGTACTTCTTTTGTGAAAACTAACCAGGTGATAAAGAGCTTCCTTCTCCAGTTTGCCCAGGAGGAGTGGATTCTTGACCTGAAGTGAGATTTTCAAACATTACAAACGTAGCCCCTTGTGCGAGGATTCAAATAAAGGAAAGTGTACTTCTTTTGTGAAAACTAACCAGGTGATAAAGAGCTTCCTTCTCCAGTTTGCCCAGGCGGAGTGGATTCCTGACCTGAAGTGAGATTTTCAAACATTACAAACGTAGCCCCTTGTGTGAGGATTCAAATGAAAGAAAGTGTACTTCTTTTGTGAAAACTAACCAGGTGATAAAGAGCTTCCTTCTCCAGTTTGCCCAGGCGGAGTGGATTCCTGACCTGAAGTAAGATTTTCAAACATTACAAACGTAGCCCCTTGTGAGAGGATTCAAATGAAGGAAAGTGTACTTCTTTTGTGAAAACTAACCAGGTGATAAAGAGCTTCCTTCTCCAGTTTGCCCAGGAGGAGTGGATGTCTGACCTGAAGTGAGATTTACGCCTTGTGCGAGGATTCAAATGAAGGGAAGTGTACTTCTGCTGTGAAAACTAACCAGGAGGTAGAGAGCTTCCTTCTCCAGTTTGCCCAGGAAGAGTGGATTTCTGACCTGAAGTGAGATTTTCAAACATTGCAAACGTAGCCCCTTGTGAGGGGATTCAAATGAATGGAAGTGTGCTTCTGCTGTGAAAACTAACCAGGTGGTAAAGAGCTTCCTTCTCCAGTTTGCCCAGGCGGAGTGGATTCCTGACCTGAAGTGAGTCCTCAATTAGTCAGCAACGTATTCCCTATGAAAACAAACCAGGTGACAGCGAACTGCCTTCCTTGGGCTCAGTTCCTTCCTGATCTTTGAGACCCTTACCACCTGAGAAATTGTCTATGAGAACAGAAGCCGAAACCCGCTTTAATCGCTAAACTGACCTTCATTGAAGCCTTTAAATTTAATTGTGCGATTCGGCCAACTTGAGGGTTGCTGATCTGGAGAAGATATGTTCCAAATTATGAAGCATGTTCCTGTTTGTATGAGACTAACCAGGTGGTAGAGAGCTTCCTTCTCCAGTTTGCCCAGGCGGAGTGGATTCCTGACCTGAAGTGAGATTTTCAAACATTACAAACGTAGCCCCTTGTGTGAGGATTCAAATGAAAGGAAGTGTACTTCTTTTGTGAAAACTAACCAGGTGATAAAGAGCTTCCTTCTCCAGTTTGCCCAGGAGGAGTGGATTCTTGACCTGAAGTGAGATTTTCAAACATTACAAACGTAGCCCCTTGTGCGAGGATTCAAATAAAGGAAAGTGTACTTCTTTTGTGAAAACTAACCAGGTGATAAAGAGCTTCCTTCTCCAGTTTGCCCAGGCGGAGTGGATTCCTGACCTGAAGTGAGATTTTCAAACATTACAAACGTAGCCCCTTGTGTGAGGATTCAAATGAAAGAAAGTGTACTTCTTTTGTGAAAACTAACCAGGTGATAAAGAGCTTCCTTCTCCAGTTTGCCCAGGCGGAGTGGATTCCTGACCTGAAGTAAGATTTTCAAACATTACAAACGTAGCCCCTTGTGAGAGGATTCAAATGAAGGAAAGTGTACTTCTTTTGTGAAAACTAACCAGGTGATAAAGAGCTTCCTTCTCCAGTTTGCCCAGGAGGAGTGGATTCCTGACCTGAAGTGAGATTTACGCCTTGTGCGAGGATTCAAATGAAGGGAAGTGTACTTCTGCTGTGAAAACTAACCAGGAGGTAGAGAGCTTCCTTCTCCAGTTTGCCCAGGAAGAGTGGATTTCTGACCTGAAGTGAGATTTTCAAACATTGCAAACGTAGCCCCTTGTGAGGGGATTCAAATGAATGGAAGTGTGCTTCTGCTGTGAAAACTAACCAGGTGGTAAAGAGCTTCCTTCTCCAGTTTGCCCAGGAGGAGTGGATTCCTGACCTGAAGTGAGATTTTCAAACATTGCAAACGTAGCCCCTTGTGTGAGGATTCAAATGAAAGAAAGTGTACTTCTTTTGTGAAAACTAACCAGGTGATAAAGAGCTTCCTTCTCCAGTTTGCCCAGGCGGAGTGGATTCCTGACCTGAAGTAAGATTTTCAAACATTACAAACGTAGCCCCTTGTGAGAGGATTCAAATGAAGGAAAGTGTACTTCTTTTGTGAAAACTAACCAGGTGATAAAGAGCTTCCTTCTCCAGTTTGCCCAGGAGGAGTGGATTTCTGACCTGAAGTGAGATTTTCAAACATTGCAAACGTAGCCCCTTGTGAGAGGATTCAAATGAATGGAAGTGTGCTTCTGCTGTGAAAACTAACCAGGTGGTAAAGAGCTTCCTTCTCCAGTTTGCCCAGGAGGAGTGGATTCTTGACCTGAAGTGAGATTTGCAAACATTACAAACGTAGCCCCTTGTGCGAGGATTCAAATAAAGGAAAGTGTACTTCTTTTGTGAAAACTAACCAGGTGATAAAGAGCTTCCTTCTCCAGTTTGCCCAGGCGGAGTGGATTCCTGACCTGAAGTGAGATTTTCAAACATTACAAACGTAGCCCCTTGTGTGAGGATTCAAATGAAAGAAAGTGTACTTCTTTTGTGAAAACTAACCAGGTGATAAAGAGCTTCCTTCTCCAGTTTGCCCAGGAGGAGTGGATTCTTGACCTGAAGTGAGATTTTCAAACATTACAAACGTAGCCCCTTGTGCGAGGATTCAAATAAAGGAAAGTGTACTTCTTTTGTGAAAACTAACCAGGTGATAAAGAGCTTCCTTCTCCAGTTTGCCCAGGCGGAGTGGATTCCTGACCTGAAGTGAGATTTTCAAACATTACAAACGTAGCCCCTTGTGTGAGGATTCAAATGAAAGAAAGTGTACTTCTTTTGTGAAAACTAACCAGGTGATAAAGAGCTTCCTTCTCCAGTTTGCCCAGGCGGAGTGGATTCCTGACCTGAAGTAAGATTTTCAAACATTACAAACGTAGCCCCTTGTGAGAGGATTCAAATGAAGGAAAGTGTACTTCTTTTGTGAAAACTAACCAGGTGATAAAGAGCTTCCTTCTCCAGTTTGCCCAGGAGGAGTGGATTTCTGACCTGAAGTGAGATTTTCAAACATTGCAAACGTAGCCCCTTGTGAGAGGATTCAAATGAATGGAAGTGTGCTTCTGCTGTGAAAACTAACCAGGTGATAAAGAGCTTCCTTCTCCAGTTTGCCCAGGCGGAGTGGATTCCTGACCTGAAGTAAGATTTTCAAACATTACAAACGTAGCCCCTTGTGAGAGCATTCAAATGAAGGAAAGTGTACTTCTTTTGTGAAAACTAACCAGGTGATAAAGAGCTTCCTTCTCCAGTTTGCCCAGGAGGAGTGGATTCCTGACCTGAAGTGAGATTTACGCCTTGTGCGAGGATTCAAATGAAGGGAAGTGTACTTCTGCTGTGAAAACTAACCAGGTGGTAGAGAGCTTCCTTCTCCAGTTTGCCCAGGAGGAGTGGATTTCTGACCTGAAGTGAGATTTTCAAACATTGCAAACGTAGCCCCTTGTGAGAGGATTCAAATGAATGGAAGTGTGCTTCTGCTGTGAAAACTAACCTGGTGGTAAAGAGCTTCCTTCTCCAGTTTGCCCAGGAGGAGTGGATTCCTGACCTGAAGTGAGTCCTCAATTAGTCAGCAACGTATTCCCTATGAAAACAAACCAGGTGACAGCGAACTGCCTTCCTTGAGCTCAGTTCCTTCCTGATCTTTGAGACCCTTACCACCTGAGAAATTGTCTATGAGAACAGAAGCCGAAACCCGCTTTAATCGCTAAACTGACCTTCATTGAAGCCTTTAAATTTAATTGTGCGATTCGGCCAACTTGAGGGTTGCTGATCTGGAGAAGATATGTTCCAAATTATGAAGCATGTTCTTGTTTGTATGAGACTAACCAGGTGGTAGAGAGCTTCCTTCTCCAGTTTGCCCAGGAGGAGTGGATTCTTGACCTGAAGTGAGATTTGCAAACATTACAAACGTAGCCCCTTGTGTGAGGATTCAAATGAAAGAAAGTGTACTTCTTTTGTAAAAACTAACCAGGTGATAAAGAGCTTCCTTCTCCAGTTTGCCCAGGAGGAGTGGATTCCTGACCTGAAGTGAGATTTACGCCTTGTGAGAGGATTCAAATGAAGGGAAGTGTACTTCTGCTGTGAAAACTAACCAGGTGGTAGAGAGCTTCCTTCTCCAGTTTGCCCAGGAGGAGTGGATTCTTGACCTGAAGTGAGATTTGCAAACATTACAAACGTAGCCCCTTGTGCGAGGATTCAAATAAAGGAAAGTGTACTTCTTTTGTGAAAACTAACCAGGTGATAAAGAGCTTCCTTCTCCAGTTTGCCCAGGCGGAGTGGATTCCTGACCTGAAGTGAGATTTTCAAACATTACAAACGTAGCCCCTTGTGTGAGGATTCAAATGAAAGAAAGTGTACTTCTTTTGTGAAAACTAACCAGGTGATAAAGAGCTTCCTTCTCCAGTTTGCCCAGGAGGAGTGGATTCTTGACCTGAAGTGAGATTTTCAAACATTACAAACGTAGCCCCTTGTGCGAGGATTCAAATAAAGGAAAGTGTACTTCTTTTGTGAAAACTAACCAGGTGATAAAGAGCTTCCTTCTCCAGTTTGCCCAGGCGGAGTGGATTCCTGACCTGAAGTGAGATTTTCAAACATTACAAACGTAGCCCCTTGTGTGAGGATTCAAATGAAAGAAAGTGTACTTCTTTTGTGAAAACTAACCAGGTGATAAAGAGCTTCCTTCTCCAGTTTGCCCAGGCGGAGTGGATTCCTGACCTGAAGTAAGATTTTCAAACATTACAAACGTAGCCCCTTGTGAGAGGATTCAAATGAAGGAAAGTGTACTTCTTTTGTGAAAACTAACCAGGTGATAAAGAGCTTCCTTCTCCAGTTTGCCCAGGAGGAGTGGATTTCTGACCTGAAGTGAGATTTTCAAACATTGCAAACGTAGCCCCTTGTGAGAGGATTCAAATGAATGGAAGTGTGCTTCTGCTGTGAAAACTAACCAGGTGGTAAAGAGCTTCCTTCTCCAGTTTGCCCAGGAGGAGTGGATTTCTGACCTGAAGTGAGATTTTCAAACATTGCAAACGTAGCCCCTTGTGAGAGGATTCAAATGAATGGAAGTGTGCTTCTGCTGTGAAAACTAACCAGGTGATAAAGAGCTTCCTTCTCCAGTTTGCCCAGGCGGAGTGGATTCCTGACCTGAAGTAAGATTTTCAAACATTACAAACGTAGCCCCTTGTGAGAGCATTCAAATGAAGGAAAGTGTACTTCTTTTGTGAAAACTAACCAGGTGATAAAGAGCTTCCTTCTCCAGTTTGCCCAGGAGGAGTGGATTCCTGACCTGAAGTGAGATTTACGCCTTGTGCGAGGATTCAAATGAAGGGAAGTGTACTTCTGCTGTGAAAACTAACCAGGTGGTAGAGAGCTTCCTTCTCCAGTTTGCCCAGGAGGAGTGGATTTCTGACCTGAAGTGAGATTTTCAAACATTGCAAACGTAGCCCCTTGTGAGAGGATTCAAATGAATGGAGTGTGCTTCTGCTGTGAAAACTAACCTGGTGGTAAAGAGCTTCCTTCTCCAGTTTGCCCAGGAGGAGTGGATTCCTGACCTGAAGTGAGTCCTCAATTAGTCAGCAACGTATTCCCTATGAAAACAAACCAGGTGACAGCGAACTGCCTTCCTTGAGCTCAGTTCCTTCCTGATCTTTGAGACCCTTACCACCTGAGAAATTGTCTATGAGAACAGAAGCCGAAACCCGCTTTAATCGCTAAACTGACCTTCATTGAAGCCTTTAAATTTAATTGTGCGATTCGGCCAACTTGAGGGTTGCTGATCTGGAGAAGATATGTTCCAAATTATGAAGCATGTTCTTGTTTGTATGAGACTAACCAGGTGGTAGAGAGCTTCCTTCTCCAGTTTGCCCAGGAGGAGTGGATTCTTGACCTGAAGTGAGATTTGCAAACATTACAAACGTAGCCCCTTGTGTGAGGATTCAAATGAAAGAAAGTGTACTTCTTTTGTGAAAACTAACCAGGTGATAAAGAGCTTCCTTCTCCAGTTTGCCCAGGAGGAGTGGATTCCTGACCTGAAGTGAGATTTACGCCTTGTGCGAGGATTCAAATGAAGGGAAGTGTACTTCTGCTGTGAAAACTAACCAGGTGGTAGAGAGCTTCCTTCTCCAGTTTGCCCAGGAGGAGTGGATTCTTGACCTGAAGTGAGATTTGCAAACATTACAAACGTAGCCCCTTGTGCGAGGATTCAAATAAAGGAAAGTGTACTTCTTTTGTGAAAACTAACCAGGTGATAAAGAGCTTCCTTCTCCAGTTTGCCCAGGCGGAGTGGATTCCTGACCTGAAGTAAGATTTTCAAACATTACAAACGTAGCCTCTTGTGAGAGGATTCAAATGAAGGAAAGTGTACTTCTTTTGTGAAAACTAACCAGGTGATAAAGAGCTTCCTTCTCCAGTTTGCCCAGGAGGAGTGGATTCCTGACCTGAAGTGAGATTTACGCCTTGTGCGAGGATTCAAATGAAGGGAAGTGTACTTCTGCTGTGAAAACTAACCAGGTGGTAGAGAGCTTCCTTCTCCAGTTTGCCCAGGAGGAGTGGATTTCTGACCTGAAGTGAGATTTTCAAACATTGCAAACGTAGCCCCTTGTGAGAGGATTCAAATGAATGGAAGTGTGCTTCTGCTGTGAAAACTAACCAGGTGGTAAAGAGCTTCCTTCTCCAGTTTGCCCAGGAGGAGTGGATTCCTGACCTGAAGTGAGTCCTCAATTAGTCAGCAACGTATTCCCTATGAAAACAAACCAGGTGACAGCGAACTGCCTTCCTTGAGCTCAGTTCCTTCCTGATCTTTGAGACCCTTACCACCTGAGAAATTGTCTATGAGAACAGAAGCCGAAACCCGCTTTAATCGCTAAACTGACCTTCATTGAAGCCTTTAAATTTAATTGTGCGATTCGGCCAACTTGAGGGTTGCTGATCTGGAGAAGATATGTTCCAAATTATGAAGCATGTTCTTGTTTGTATGAGACTAACCAGGTGGTAGAGAGCTTCCTTCTCCAGTTTGCCCAGGAGGAGTGGATTCTTGACCTGAAGTGAGATTTGCAAACATTACAAACGTAGCCCCTTGTGCGAGGATTCAAATAAAGGAAAGTGTACTTCTTTTGTGAAAACTAACCAGGTGATAAAGAGCTTCCTTCTCCAGTTTGCCCAGGCGGAGTGGATTCCTGACCTGAAGTGAGATTTTCAAACATTACAAACGTAGCCCCTTGTGTGAGGATTCAAATGAAAGAAAGTGTACTTCTTTTGTGAAAACTAACCAGGTGATAAAGAGCTTCCTTCTCCAGTTTGCCCAGGAGGAGTGGATTCTTGACCTGAAGTGAGATTTGCAAACATTACAAACGTAGCCCCTTGTGCGAGGATTCAAATAAAGGAAAGTGTACTTCTTTTGTGAAAACTAACCAGGTGATAAAGAGCTTCCTTCTCCAGTTTGCCCAGGCGGAGTGGATTCCTGACCTGAAGTAAGATTTTCAAACATTACAAAGTAGCCTCTTGTGAGAGGATTCAAATGAAGGAAAGTGTACTTCTTTTGTGAAAACTAACCAGGTGATAAAGAGCTTCCTTCTCCAGTTTGCCCAGGAGGAGTGGATTCCTGACCTGAAGTGAGATTTACGCCTTGTGCGAGGATTCAAATGAAGGGAAGTGTACTTCTGCTGTGAAAACTAACCAGGTGGTAGAGAGCTTCCTTCTCCAGTTTGCCCAGGAGGAGTGGATTTCTGACCTGAAGTGAGATTTTCAAACATTGCAAACGTAGCCCCTTGTGAGAGGATTCAAATGAATGGAAGTGTGCTTCTGCTGTGAAAACTAACCAGGTGGTAAAGAGCTTCCTTCTCCAGTTTGCCCAGGAGGAGTGGATTCCTGACCTGAAGTGAGTCCTCAATTAGTCAGCAACGTATTCCCTATGAAAACAAACCAGGTGACAGCGAACTGCCTTCCTTGAGCTCAGTTCCTTCCTGATCTTTGAGACCCTTACCACCTGAGAAATTGTCTATGAGAACAGAAGCCGAAACCCGCTTTAATCGCTAAACTGACCTTCATTGAAGCCTTTAAATTTAATTGTGCGATTCGGCCAACTTGAGGGTTGCTGATCTGGAGAAGATATGTTCCAAATTATGAAGCATGTTCTTGTTTGTATGAGACTAACCAGGTGGTAGAGAGCTTCCTTCTCCAGTTTGCCCAGGAGGAGTGGATTCTTGACCTGAAGTGAGATTTGCAAACATTACAAACGTAGCCCCTTGTGCGAGGATTCAAATAAAGGAAAGTGTACTTCTTTTGTGAAAACTAACCAGGTGATAAAGAGCTTCCTTCTCCAGTTTGCCCAGGCGGAGTGGATTCCTGACCTGAAGTGAGTCCTCAATTAGTCAGCAACGTATTCCCTATGAAAACAAACCAGGTGACAGCGAACTGCCTTCCTTGAGCTCAGTTCCTTCCTGATCTTTGAGACCCTTACCACCTGAGAAATTGTCTATGAGAACAGAAGCCGAAACCCGCTTTAATCGCTAAACTGACCTTCATTGAAGCCTTTAAATTTAATTGTGCGATTCGGCCAACTTGAGGGTTGCTGATCTGGAGAAGATATGTTCCAAATTATGAAGCATGTTCTTGTTTGTATGAGACTAACCAGGTGGTAGAGAGCTTCCTTCTCCAGTTTGCCCAGGAGGAGTGGATTCTTGACCTGAAGTGAGATTTGCAAACATTACAAACGTAGCCCCTTGTGCGAGGATTCAAATAAAGGAAAGTGTACTTCTTTTGTGAAAACTAACCAGGTGATAAAGAGCTTCCTTCTCCAGTTTGCCCAGGCGGAGTGGATTCCTGACCTGAAGTGAGATTTTCAAACATTACAAACGTAGCCCCTTGTGTGAGGATTCAAATGAAAGAAAGTGTACTTCTTTTGTGAAAACTAACCAGGTGATAAAGAGCTTCCTTCTCCAGTTTGCCCAGGAGGAGTGGATTCTTGACCTGAAGTGAGATTTGCAAACATTACAAACGTAGCCCCTTGTGCGAGGATTCAAATAAAGGAAAGTGTACTTCTTTTGTGAAAACTAACCAGGTGATAAAGAGCTTCCTTCTCCAGTTTGCCCAGGCGGAGTGGATTCCTGACCTGAAGTAAGATTTTCAAACATTACAAACGTAGCCTCTTGTGAGAGGATTCAAATGAAGGAAAGTGTACTTCTTTTGTGAAAACTAACCAGGTGATAAAGAGCTTCCTTCTCCAGTTTGCCCAGGAGGAGTGGATTCCTGACCTGAAGTGAGATTTACGCCTTGTGCGAGGATTCAAATGAAGGGAAGTGTACTTCTGCTGTGAAAACTAACCAGGTGGTAGAGAGCTTCCTTCTCCAGTTTGCCCAGGAGGAGTGGATTTCTGACCTGAAGTGAGATTTTCAAACATTGCAAACGTAGCCCCTTGTGAGAGGATTCAAATGAATGGAAGTGTGCTTCTGCTGTGAAAACTAACCAGGTGGTAAAGAGCTTCCTTCTCCAGTTTGCCCAGGAGGAGTGGATTCCTGACCTGAAGTGAGTCCTCAATTAGTCAGCAACGTATTCCCTATGAAAACAAACCAGGTGACAGCGAACTGCCTTCCTTGAGCTCAGTTCCTTCCTGATCTTTGAGACCCTTACCACCTGAGAAATTGTCTATGAGAACAGAAGCCGAAACCCGCTTTAATCGCTAAACTGACCTTCATTGAAGCCTTTAAATTTAATTGTGCGATTCGGCCAACTTGAGGGTTGCTGATCTGGAGAAGATATGTTCCAAATTATGAAGCATGTTCTTGTTTGTATGAGACTAACCAGGTGGTAGAGAGCTTCCTTCTCCAGTTTGCCCAGGAGGAGTGGATTCTTGACCTGAAGTGAGATTTGCAAACATTACAAACGTAGCCCCTTGTGCGAGGATTCAAATAAAGGAAAGTGTACTTCTTTTGTGAAAACTAACCAGGTGATAAAGAGCTTCCTTCTCCAGTTTGCCCAGGCGGAGTGGATTCCTGACCTGAAGTGAGATTTTCAAACATTACAAACGTAGCCCCTTGTGTGAGGATTCAAATGAAAGAAAGTGTACTTCTTTTGTGAAAACTAACCAGGTGATAAAGAGCTTCCTTCTCCAGTTTGCCCAGGAGGAGTGGATTCCTGACCTGAAGTGAGATTTACGCCTTGTGCGAGGATTCAAATGAAGGGAAGTGTACTTCTGCTGTGAAAACTAACCAGGTGGTAGAGAGCTTCCTTCTCCAGTTTGCCCAGGAGGAGTGGATTCTTGACCTGAAGTGAGATTTGCAAACATTACAAACGTAGCCCCTTGTGCGAGGATTCAAATAAAGGAAAGTGTACTTCTTTTGTGAAAACTAACCAGGTGATAAAGAGCTTCCTTCTCCAGTTTGCCCAGGCGGAGTGGATTCCTGACCTGAAGTAAGATTTTCAAACATTACAAACGTAGCCTCTTGTGAGAGGATTCAAATGAAGGAAAGTGTACTTCTTTTGTGAAAACTAACCAGGTGATAAAGAGCTTCCTTCTCCAGTTTGCCCAGGAGGAGTGGATTCCTGACCTGAAGTGAGATTTACGCCTTGTGCGAGGATTCAAATGAAGGGAAGTGTACTTCTGCTGTGAAAACTAACCAGGTGGTAGAGAGCTTCCTTCTCCAGTTTGCCCAGGAGGAGTGGATTTCTGACCTGAAGTGAGATTTTCAAACATTGCAAAGTAGCCCCTTGTGAGAGGATTCAAATGAATGGAAGTGTGCTTCTGCTGTGAAAACTAACCAGGTGGTAAAGAGCTTCCTTCTCCAGTTTGCCCAGGAGGAGTGGATTCCTGACCTGAAGTGAGTCCTCAATTAGTCAGCAACGTATTCCCTATGAAAACAAACCAGGTGACAGCGAACTGCCTTCCTTGGGCTCAGTTCCTTCCTGATCTTTGAGACCCTTACCACCTGAGAAATTGTCTATGAGAACAGAAGCCGAAACTCGCTTTAATCGCTAAACTGACCTTCATTGAAGCCTTTAAATTTAATTGTGCGATTCGGCCAACTTGAGGGTTGCTGATCTGGAGAAGATATGTTCCAAATTATGAAGCATGTTCCTGTTTGTATGAGACTAACCAGGTGGTAGAGAGCTTCCTTCTCCAGTTTGCCCAGGAGGAGTGGATTCTTGACCTGAAGTGAGATTTTCAAACATTACAAACGTAGCCCCTTGTGCGAGGATTCAAATAAAGGAAAGTGTACTTCTTTTGTGAAAACTAACCAGGTGATAAAGAGCTTCCTTCTCCCGTTTGCCCAGGCGGAGTGGATTCCTGACCTGAAGTGAGATTTTCAAACATTACAAACGTAGCCCCTTGTGTGAGGATTCAAATGAAAGAAAGTGTACTTCTTTTGTGAAAACTAACCAGGTGATAAAGAGCTTCCTTCTCCAGTTTGCCCAGGCGGAGTGGATTTCTGACCTGAAGTAAGATTTTCAAACATTGCAAAGTAGCCCCTTGTGAGAGGATTCAAATGAATGGAAGTGTGCTTCTGCTGTGAAAACTAACCAGGTGGTAAAGAGCTTCCTTCTCCAGTTTGCCCAGGAGGAGTGGATTCCTGACCTGAAGTGAGTCCTCAATTAGTCAGCAACGTATTCCCTATGAAAACAAACCAGGTGACAGCGAACTGCCTTCCTTGGGCTCAGTTCCTTCCTGATCTTTGAGACCCTTACCACCTGAGAAATTGTCTATGAGAACAGAAGCCGAAACTCGCTTTAATCGCTAAACTGACCTTCATTGAAGCCTTTAAATTTAATTGTGCGATTCGGCCAACTTGAGGGTTGCTGATCTGGAGAAGATATGTTCCAAATTATGAAGCATGTTCCTGTTTGTATGAGACTAACCAGGTGGTAGAGAGCTTCCTTCTCCAGTTTGCCCAGGAGGAGTGGATTCTTGACCTGAAGTGAGATTTTCAACATTACAAACGTAGCCCCTTGTGCGAGGATTCAAATAAAGGAAAGTGTACTTATTTTGTGAAAACTAACCAGGTGATAAAGAGCTTCCTTCTCCCGTTTGCCCAGGCGGAGTGGATTCCTGACCTGAAGTGAGATTTTCAAACATTACAAACGTAGCCCCTTGTGTGAGGATTCAAATGAAAGAAAGTGTACTTCTTTTGTGAAAACTAACCAGGTGATAAAGAGCTTCCTTCTCCAGTTTGCCCAGGCGGAGTGGATTTCTGACCTGAAGTAAGATTTTCAAACATTACAAACGTAGCCCCTTGTGAGAGGATTCAAATGAAGGAAAGTGTACTTCTTTTGTGAAAACTAACCAGGTGATAAAGAGCTTCCTTCTCCAGTTTGCCCAGGCGGAGTGGATTTCTGACCTGAGGTGAGATTTTCAAACATTACAAACTTAGCCCCTTGTGAGAGGATTCAAATGAAGGGAAGTGTACTTCTGCTGGAAAACTAACCAGGTGGTAAAGAGCTCCCTTCTCCAGTTTGCCCAGGCGGAGTGGATTCCTGATCTGAAGTGAGATTTACGCCTTGTGCGAGGATTCAAATGAAGGGAAGTGTACTTCTTTTGTGAAAACTAACCAGGTGATAAAGAGCTTCTTTCTCCAGTTTGCCCAGGAGGAGTGGATTCCTGACCTGAAGTGAGATTTACGCCTTGTGCGAGGATTCAAATGAAGGGAAGTGTACTTCTGCTGTGAAAACTAACCAGGTGGTAGAGAGCTTCCTTCTCCAGTTTGCCCAGGAGGAGTGGATTTCTGACCTGAGGTGAGGTTTTCAAACGTTACAAACTTAGCCCCTTGTGCGAGGATTCAAATGAAGGGAAGTGTACTTCTGCTGTGAAAACTAACCAGGTGGTAAAGAGCTTCCTTCTCCAGTTTGCCCAGGAGGAGTGGATTCCTGACCTGGAGTGAGTCCTCAATTAGTCAGCAACGTATTTTCCCGTGAAAACAAACCGGGTGGTATAGAAGTGACTTTATTTGGTTGCGCTGGAGTTCGTGTGGTTTGCTGATCTAAGGCGAAGTATGTAACATCGAAAATTGTAGTTTTCTCCTAAAAACTAACAGGGCGTTGGCGAACTTCCTTTAGGCTGCTCAGGAGCTCTAGTGGATTCTTGATCTGAAACAAAATTTCTCAGAAAGCCACACAAAATCATGCTGTTAAAGAGGAAGGAAAGCTTAACCCTTTCGGACGTGGTGGTGGCAATTGCCGCCATCAACTGAGAGACCTGCTGTGCTAGGTCAGGAACATAATGTTGATGCTCATTGCTGGAAATCTGTTCACTTAGTCTATTCCTTCCAGGTGCAGGTTCGAGACCGCGTTTTTGTTTGTTTTATCAGCAAACGAGCATTTCTGTGAGCAAGTGAATTGCATCCAATCATAGCTTGCTCTGGCGTCAGCAACGCGCCAGTAATCTCGTTCGTTAGCCAAAAAATATTCTTAGTATTACTAAAGGTTTCGAGTACGACGTTGTACAAGTGTAGTCGCTGACAGTTTTCCGATCCACCTATATTGGGAAAAATCTTATATATAAAGCTGAATGTCTGTTTGTCTGTCTGTCTGTCTGTCTGTCTGTCTGTATGTCTGTCTGTATGTCTGTCTGTACGTATGTTCCGAATAGAAAATTCCATTTCTGAACCGATCGGGACCAAACTTGGCACACATACACTTTGGGCCCCGGCGGGTGTCATAGGCTACTTTTCGTCATCGATCGATATCGATTTTATCGATTTTTTGTAAAATTTGAGCTACGGGGCTGGGAGTTGGCACAGGGGGGTAATCGAGCATGCTGATCACCCCCGTGGGGGTGATCAGCATGCTCGGTTACACCCCCCTGCCAAATTCCAGCCCCCTAGCTCAAATTTTGCAAAAAATCGATAAAATCGACATCGATCGATAGCGAAAAGTGGACTGTGACACCCGCCGGGGCCCGAAGTGTATGTGTGTCAAGTTTGGTCCGGATCGGTTAAGAAATGGAATTTTTTATTTGGAACATACGGCGGAGCCGGGTAAGCCAGCTAGTTTTTAATAAAATGAACGCGAGACCGAAAAACCTAAAAATCAGAGAAATAGAATGGATGTCGGAAAGACTTTAAACTTTGTTATGATGTTATTCGTATGCTGGTAAGTAAAGAACAATAGGAATGAGACTTCTCTTGTTACATCCAGGTCCCAAAGGTCAGGGCAATTTTCCAACAAAAGTATGTCTTTCTCGTTACGGAATCAATATAGCAATACCAAATCGTTATACCAAATGCTATACTAAATATGTAATGCGAAAGACTTTTTCCTAGAAATTTCGAAATATTCGTGCTCCAAGAGGTGAAGCAGGATGGAGATTTTTGCTAAAGTAAGTGTTCTCCTTGGTGAACTGAAATTTCCTTAGGTCTGGTTAAAATTTTTTACAGAAGCTTCTGCAGTAGTGTTGTTTATTCTGCAAACAACAGGAAGATACTTCTTTTCGCAAGCATAAAATTGCTGCCAAGGGACCAACCTCGAGAACCGCTTATTCCATGTTCCCTGCATGCAGCGCAAATCTTGCATGAACTGGACTGGTTTGGTGGACATTGAGCACAGAGCTGTCGACATGCTAAATTTCTTTGAGAAAGTATATTTTGACTTTACCAATCAGGTTGTGGAGAGTAAATAAAGTTAGCTTCCTCCAGTATGGCTGAACAAAGATCTGAGAAGAAGATGTAGGTAGTTATTTTGTCAAGCTTTCAGTGGTCAAAAATATCCTGCACAATCTCAATGTGGTTGTGGTTTAGCTACGAAACTAACCAGGTCCAATGAAACCGTTGTGAAAGCAACTCTGATACATTTGCACAGAGCATATTTGACCTGAAAAATTTCTGAAGATAATCTTGACTTGTGCACTTTGCTTTATTGAACTGACCATATATACATAGTGAAGGACAGTTGTAAAATGTTGAGATTTGATGCTGCTGAACTAAAATTCGTTTTTGAAATACTTGCAATGAGCATTGAATAATATTACATCTGAACTATTAAGAAAGAACCAGAAACCCCTGGATGTCTTTGTGAATACAAAACCGTTTTCTAACGTTAGAAAAGCTGTCGAGTTTTCGCTCTAGTGGTCCTACTCATTACGTGGCATATTTATTTGTCTTATTCAACTTTTCTAAATTTAACACCCGCAGTGAAGAGGATGGGACTCGGCCTCTTAGGAGACGGTCCGGGCATAAGGCTCATAGATGTACATTCTTAACCCAAAAATTATGATTGCCGACTCGGTCTCAACTATGTAGAAGATTATGTAGAGAACGGGTTAACATTAATTAAGGCTAAAATTACTTCCTATAAGTCTAGGCCTTTCCTTCTTTTCTCCCACATCGCCGCTAACCCCTCTTTCTCCCTCCCTCTCTTTCTTTATCCTTTTCACAATCATATCCAAGCTAGCGGACAATCAGGATCCTGGGCCAGCTCTCTTATAAGAGCCTATTGTTTCCAAAGCTTGACTCGAGTCACTGCATTCTCCTCATCGCAAAAGTGAAGCGATGAGGAGAATGCAGTGATTCGAGTCAACCGTACCACCGTTGTTCCTTACACTGCAGGATGGTATGACGGGTTATCTCGTATTTTCAGAGGAAAGTAGAAATTACTGAACAACTAACTGGCCTCATCATAGGACGTTAAGACAATAGATACAAATCTTACCCGCGTCCACTAGGACATCACCCTCATGATGAGCTTATGCTGTACTCATCAGCGCAAAAGTAAAAAAATTATCAATTTCTCATTCTAATCATAAGTTATTGTCAGTCATTTTGTGTCCTAAATGTACGTATTGCACATCATGCGCGCTAAGTGGCGAATTTCCAAGGTCAGAACCTGCCCATTTATGATGATCTCTCCGTGTTTCCTTGTCTCTATTAATTTGCTTAGGTATGTATTAGTGAGTAATACACATGCTTAGTGTGTTATGCTAGAAAAGGTTCTACTGAGAAGTTAGTAGTAAGCGTGCCGTTGGTTGCCGCGCATAGTTTGAAGACTTGGACTTCTATCGGCCCCTGGACCGGTAGTAATCTACCCTACCTGGTGGCATCATAGATGCCGGCAAGTTGGCACACATCGCGGAAAGATGCCAACTCCGCCGGCAGCTCGCGGAGTGATTATAGGTTTTAATAATCTTATGTAACCATAGCACGCATTCATTTTGCACATTAAATTTTGACGACGCAGACAGCCGCAAAAGTGCTACCTCGCCCGCGGCCGAACCTATGTGCGTTAACTTAAAGTGCCACCACAACCACTCGACCATTCGGTCAGCCATCGCCGTTTGCACCAGCAATAGGAGGAACGAGCTGGTAAATTGCTGCCTGTAAGAGGGATCGATACATCGCGTGAGAGACTTTGACCTGAAAGAACAGCTGATTGATATGAGCGAGAGAGGGGCGAAATCGGTGCAAACGAGATTTATAAGGGATTGCCAGAAAAGATGGTGTTCTTTATGATTTTAAGGCATTACTGGATTTTTTCCCGTTAAGAAAATCGTTGTTTAAAAAAAGAAAAACTCATATAATGAGAAAAATGATAGTTTTTTGGTGAAAAGTAGAATTTTTGGTTTTTTCGCCTGACGTAAATTGTGTGATATCGCCGCAAATCGCAAACTCGCAGACGCCGTCGGCAAAGGTGCCACCACCTCGACGTGGTAGGGGCACGTCGAGATGCCGGCAGCTCCCTCTCCAAAAGAGCACGCTATTTCCCGTGGTCTCTGACCTGCCGGCAGCTGCCATCTCGCGGATTTCGACGAGCTGCCGGCAGGTTGCCGGCAACTGACATCGCGAAGTTGCCGGCAGCTCCTCCTGCGCTTCCAGATATCTTACTAAAGGAGAAGTTCTGGAACCGCAGACTTTTATGGAGTTTTCTACAGAGTCGAGGCGGCATCTTTAGCGGGAAAATTTTATGGAATAAGGCCTGGGACGGCCTAAATTTTGGGTCTCACTTTTTGGCCACCTCACGGAAAAGGTGCCAGCGACCTGCCGACGAGACCTGTCGCCAGGTCGGGGGGATTACTACCGGCCCTGGTAACATCGTTAGCCGGCGTGTTCTCAGTCCCTTGTATTGAGTTGTTTGTGTTGGTTTCAAGCTGTGGATTAATGGTGGGCAATTTTGGATAGTAGTGTAGGGACTGTAGTGTTGGGCTACGGGCTTAGGCCTTATTCTCAGTAATACATGTATGCTGAATGTGTTCTTAGTCAACTTAAAGGCAGCAGCTCGCCAAAACCGAGCATCCCGAAATTTTAACATGGAAGGTTGCTTGCACCTCAAACATAAGAATAGAGCAGGTCCAAGCGCACAGCATGCTGGTCTTGCCTAAAAAACTGCCCCTAAACCCGTTACGCGCAAGCCATTCTAATACGCGCGGACGAGCTTGCGATCATGCCGCAATGTTATAACTGCGCATTGATTTTGCCTCTCTAACCATGGCGGGACGTGCTCCACTCGTCCAAATTCAAATGGGAGGCCTCGAAAAATGGTGGTTTTAGCCATTTTAGCGCTCTTTAAGATAGATTTTCGGAATCAGCGCCTCGAATTATCCCAGGTAAGCAAAAAAGTTCAAGTCGAGAATCTGCCGAGCCGCTGCCTTTAACGTCCAGTAGGATTCCATCAGCAAGAAGGCGCGGCACGGTCGTAGGCAGTGCAACTTGCCTACGATAACAACGCAACTGTCAGCACTGTTAGCCGCAGCTTGAAGTAGCCGGCATGGAAATTATGGTAGCTTGATAGCTCAGGACCTCTAACTAGCTTGTTGTATGAGTGCTCATAGCAGGCCATCAAAGCATGGCAAGCAAGCACGCTACTTTTCCTCACGTGTCGGCAGCTCATCTCTCGGACGTCCTTAGCTCCTGTCGTCGGTACAGGATAACTCTTTACCACTGATATCTGGAGCTGGGGACCCTAATTCGCGACAGTACCTAAAGCTTCGAAAGACTTCATGCACAGAAAACAGAGAAAACAATCAAAAGGCACATTTTTGGGACACCCTGTATTTCAAGTAAGTTGTTGCCTGAAAAGGTCGTTGTCGAGTTGAGCGACATACAGTTCCCCTGTTTGGCTTCTAAGAATCTATGAATTCCCATATAGTTTAGACTAGGTAAAAAACTAACAAAAATGGTTTTATTTGACACCGTTTCATCTATTTTCGCTTGGAAAGAATTTGTCAATATCTCCCTTAGAAAAGCGTTCTAGAAAGAGGTGCTTCTCCATGATCCGAACCCATTTTTTCAAAAAAGGATATTGCTTTTTCCCTTGCACCGAATTTGGTAAAAACTTTACAGAATGGAAACTCAACCTCCTGCCACATGTCAAAAAATGACGTATCATCTACAGGTTGAACAGGTTTCACCAATAATTTGTTTAGCTTACTTACCAATTTGAGTTCAATCTGTTTTTATTCAATAATGATCCGATTTTCAAATAAAGTTTCATGAATGAGCTTTGAAATTATGGAAATAACATCCTGTGCTTGTTAAACACATTAGGTTATTCCAAAACAGAGAAGTGCACCATTGTTCTATCATCAAACGACGAAACAATCGGCAGTCAAGTACTTTAAGCCATTATTTGTATTCTTTCCCCGCTGAATTCGCATGGCGGAAAAATCATTGCTGAAGGTTATCAAGATGATTTAATAAGCATTAAAAGAGTTTTGCCCTGAGCACGTACCTCATCGGAAATGATTTCGAAACAACATGTCAAAATGGCCCAAAACGTGTAATTTTTATATTGAGACGTGGCAAGAAAGACAGTCCTCACAAGTTCTATGAGAAAAAATTTCTAGGCTGAAGAAGCACGTATTTGATGAGAAATTTTGGAAAAATAGGTCCAGATAACGGGGAAGTACCAAAAAGATCTTATCAGAGCACAGCATGAAAGTGGCAAATCACAAGTGGAAGTTGTTGAAGAAGAAGGCAAAGAGATACCATAAATAAACCTGGTTGGTAAGTTGTATGCATCCTTGAATATCTTCGACCCCCGCTACAACAAGTTTTATCCGATAGTCTTGCTTAAAGCACGCTCTTCAAAAACCATCTTTTTCACGTAATGATAAACAACTGACGTGTCGGGACGCAGCTAGCTACAACAGCTGTTCGGGAAGGAGGTTGGCCGAAGACAGCGAACCTTTGGCAGTGACCTCCGCCCGCGCCGGTGCCCTCTTCCCCTTTCCCCTTCCCCTTTTGTATATAACTATGTATAATAAATATTAGAGTAAGCTTATGTAAACCCGCTACACATCAGGCTAAGGGACTAGCTAACCCTTTTACATGGAAGTCCCGGAAAGATATTTTTTATTTATTTTGAACTTTAGTCAAAATTTCTGCTTCTAAAAAAAAAGAATTTCCCACCCCTCGACAACCTCGACAACAACTTCCACCCAAGTCAAGCGAACGAATGTGTGAGTGTTTTATTTATCTGATAATAATGATGACTAATAGTGTGCTGTGATTATAAAAATTTTCCTTCCTTTTCTTGAAGGAAAACTAATATTGCAGAAAAAAAGGTACCGAAAGAAAAACTGCATTCACAAATGTGGTGATGGTCTTTGATTGAGTTAATCTTGAAGTTACCATATCACCGAATATACCAATGATTTTTGACTGAATTATTTCATAGATACATTCTACCGTAGTCCAGCGAGCAGTCCCATTTGTCCCCAATTTTTTTGAGTAATGATGCATCATTTAGCCCTATATATCTTACCATGAAGCGCAAAATTAACATTTAGCAAATATATGTAAGTAACTGAAAAAATGCAAATTTTCGAACATTTCCGCGTAGTTGTAACTAAGCCAGATT